GTTGATATACACCAGCATTGGCTACGACAAGAGACTCAGCAAGGCAGAATTCGAATTCGTTGGGTTCCGACCGCAAAGATGCGAGCAGACGGCCTAACAAAGGCACTTTCATTGCAGAAGATACGAAGTTTTCAAAGATTGATTGGCATTATTGATATTCAAGAACGATTACGGCTTGAGACCCGAATGGAAGACTTGCGGGCTAGGATCAAGGACAAGCATGGGGGTGATTCCCTAGGACCTGCTGCTCTATAGTTCCTCCCTACTGGGCATTTGAGGAGCTTTCTCCCTAGACTGGGCATTTGAGGAGCTTCCTCCCTAGGCTGGGCATTTGAGAAGCTTTCTCCCTAGTGGGCATTTGAGGACTATTCACATGAGACGCGGAGTCCCTTCAATGAAGTTTTACCCTGAAGGGACCTCTCGAGACACTCAGACAGAGCTTTGAGTTTACCTTGAGTTTTCTCCCTGACGGACCTCTTCAGAGGAAGGCTTCGAAGCTGTTTAGCTGAGCCTGAGGGGCAGCCACAGCTAAGGGGGTGTGTCGCGAAGCACGTCTGAGATCTTGAGCTCGGGGTGACCATAAGGGGTATACAGCTAAGGGCCCCGACGGGCTAGACAGAAAGGCAGCCTGCAGAGAGTTCTGAGGCTGCAGAAGACTATTAGGAGACTGCATTAGGCAGCCACACAGGCTGTAGAGAGACTGCATATACGGGGAAGCTGAAAGAGCCCTCGGCGACTAGGGAAAGTCAGTATGCAAAGGGGCTGGGAAAGGAGCCCAGCCTCCTAGATATTGTACCTATACAACTGAAAAGGGGATATCAATAGGGAACCAAGGGATATAAATAGGAGCCTAGAAGAGGGCATTGCAAGAGGGACAGACACAACGGAATACAACAAATCATACCCATCGTTACACAATCAATGCCCACTTGCATGCTCTCTTCGTGAGAGAAGTAATTGGCATTGACTTGACGGCATTCGTTATCGCAGATACGGACAAGGTCCATAAATTGACTAATTTCGGTAGGAGTATCTTTGCCCTTAGTGAGAGAAAGTCTCCAGATAACGTTGTCGTGGAGGGCACGTCGGAGGTGAGCAATGAGCGCCCCACTATCCCACTCGGTGAGCTTGGCGACGGCATACCATTCGGGAGGAATGTCGTAAGGGATCTATGGCCTTGTTTCATGTCAAAGATTTTGAGTTGGGCGGTAGCTTTAGCGTCAATATCCCCGAAGGCTGACTGAAGGGTGTTTTTTATGGCATTGACATCGTCGAAGAGAACCACCCCATCTTTAATGTTGTAGCGGACTTGGTCATGTGCTTTGCCTTTAAGGCATGAGACGACATATCCCATACGTTGAGGTTCCGAGTTCCACCAATCTTTATTCATTTCGAGCTTCAACTCGAGGTGCTGGAGGAAATTCGGCAGAAGCGTGGGGTCCTCTCCGGTGAAGGCCTCAGGATCAGGGTGTTCTGGTGTGCGGTGAAGCTCCTTTGACTGAATGATCTTTATGTACGCTTCATTTTCTGCCATAAGACGGGCGATCATTGCGTCTCCATCACTTTTAGAAATGAGCGTGTTTTCTAGGCGGGTTTGGAGGTCCTCCATTGCCCTATTTGTCGTCGTGGTCGAGGCACGTAGTGAATCGATTACCGCTTGCATACTGTATGCGGCATTGCATACGAGGAAGACTTCTTTCATGAGACCGGCTGGGTTAGCAACAAAGGCATTTCGGAACGTTTCATCGGTATTGCTGGCGTTGAGGAGGGGGCAGGGGGGCACTCGATCGACGGGTGTGGGGGTAGCGGTAGCCATTGGGTTGTTGACGGTGATGGCTATAGTGCAGGTGGCGTTCGACAGTTTCGTTACGTTTTAGTTGACTTTGCGATTGTGATTTGTTGGTTTGTTGGTTTGCTGATTCGTTGATTGGTGAATTTGGTGCGGTGGTGGTGGTTTAGGTGGAAATTTGGTTGCAGGGTGTTTTGGTGAGGTTAGAGGTATCGAAATCAATAGTCACGTCGCGGACAGTGGTCTATTGAGGAAGGGTAGTCGGTAGACAATATGTGACGGTACAAGTGCACGAACAAGGTCGAGTGCGACTTGGGTAAAGTGATTGTCTACAAGAGAGAAAGAGGTTCCTAAGGAAGACTCTGACTTTCGCTATTTACATGAATAAAAGCGGGACCTTTCATAAAGTATGAAAGTCACATGATCGTTCCCTCACAGTAATCCCAAGTAAGCAAAGCGTCGAAGAGCTGTCGTACAAAAGCTTTTGTCAGGTTTGCTTGTGTCCACGTATCAGTTTGTGACTGAACAGCATCTCCAACTATGGGGAGTGGCGATAAAGAAGCGACAGTCGGCAAAACCCGTATCGAAAGAGTTTCATTGGCTTCCACCAATACGCTGGGATAGCCAAACAAAGAGCGGCGTACCATCGAAGAGGGCAGATGAGTAAGGCAACCCGCACAGATGACTTCCCCCATGGCCGTATTAATGGGCTCAACTGGATATGCTATTCGTGGGAAGGCGTCTTGAGACGGACCGGCATTGTTTTTCTTCTTCTCCAATGCCTTCAAGACGTCCTGACGCGATTTGTTGGCATCCCTCAGTCGTTGAATAACCGCTCTGCACGTTTCATCATGGCTGAAAGAGAGGGTTTCGAGCAGTTTGTCCTTTCTCATGTTGCTTTCGTTTAACCGCTCGATTTCGGCCCGTAACTCGCGCTTTAATTTGCGCTGCGAGTCGTCGTAGAGGCATTCGCTATCAGCGTCCCGACATCGCCAGCAAGGGTTTCGTCCATCACACTATCAATCCCAGTTTCAGTACTATCATTCCGCTGGGAAACTTTGAATTGGAGTAAAGGCAAAGAAGTTGAAGAGTCCAATTTTTGTACTACCTTGATTCGTTTCTTGCGGCAACGCTCGCAAGCCTTGGGTACCTGGATTCGACGGGGTATATTCCGTTGTTGCCGCCCCGTAGATCGTTGGAGGAAAGGACTAGGCTGAAGTCGGGGTTGAATTTGTGGCATCCCTTTCATAGAAGCAACTGCAAAGTTCTATCGTCTCCCCGATCCACAATACTGAGGTTTGGGACACGGACAGGGTGGTTTTCCATATCTAAATATGGAAATACCCTTTCCATGAAGGCCCCTTCCGCTCCCTGTGCCCGATTTTTAGTCTCCTGTGCACCTTACCGTACTTAGCAAGACTCCACACGTAGACGCGTAACACACCATAATACACACAATTGGCGTCGCGGCAAGCAGTGCCTCCTGATACAACACCACAAGCCAAAATAACTCGTGATAACCACCCACCTCGCAATACCACATCGCGTCTGCGCAGCTAAGTTTCCAGAGGCACACAACCGCCACAAAGCAGCTAATCAAACCGTTCTTTCGTCAAGATGCTTCTCCAGCCCCCGCCAAACAATATGCCACTCTTTGAGACCTTTGACGATGCGTTTGACGAGCTCCAGCGGCATGCGCGCTGCCAAGGCTACGCCATAGTTAAGTTCAAGCCAAGCAACTACGAACATGGGCTCCACGCCGTTACGACATCGTATGCGCATGCGGCGGCCGTGAATACAAGTCAGCCTCGTTAGGGCTCCGGAAGACTGGCACTAGGCGGACTTCCTGCCCGTTTAGAGTCAAGGTTGTGCGCCTGAAGCTAGAGGAGACCTCTGGCGAGTCTCTGTGATGTGCCCAAGGCACAACCATGAGGCCAATAGGGCCGGTGCCTTCCCAGAATACAGGCGCCTTCATCCACATCAACTCCAGCAGGTTAAAGACTCGAGGAAGGTGCCTTCCATAAAGAGCTACTTGACGATGAGGATCGCTTCTTCTACCAGATTGTGGGCCTTGACCCTGCCTTGCGGCTTTGGGCACAACATTCACACCTCATGATGGCCGACGTAACGAACAACACGAATAGATATGGCCTCAAGCTGCTAGAGATCAATGGAATCACTGCCTTGGACTCTATCTTCCCTGTGGCTTTCTGTTTAATCCCTTCCGAAGCCACGAACGCATTTACCTGGTGTTTTATACAGCTTCGCGAGTGGTTACAGTCAAAGGCAAGGCTAAGAGGCGAGGCTGACGGCAATGCCTTTATCCCACATTATCATCACTGACTATGACGCTGCTGCGCGCTGCATTGACGGCTACCTTCCCGGACTCGCAGCTACAGGTCTGTACGTGGCATATCATGAAGAACATCACTACAAATGCGAAGAAGCGCTGGCTTGGCGACTATGACGATGACGACCCATTTGACCCGCCGCAAGAGCCCCAAGGCGATGAAGACCCCGGGCGCTCTGCTGCTGCCGGAGCCACTGCCGGAAAAAGAGGCCCTTGTGCCTTCACAACAGCTTTCCGGTCCGTAATGTATGCCCCGACCGAGGACGAGTTCAACAGCCGCTGGGACATCGTCAAAGGCGCCTTCTCAGACCAGCACATTATTCTTAGGTATGTGGAAGAGGTCTGGATGCCTGTACGAACACAATGGGCGCGCGCTTGGGTCTGCCGTTACCGCAACTGGGGCCACACAACGACCTCGCCTTGTGAACCCCTTCACTCAAGCTCTCGCACCTTCCTTCGCAACGGCCAGTCGAATCTGCTTGAATTATATCATGCCTTGCAACTACAAGCCTCAACCTCACGAGAACACCATGATCGGACCGTTGAGCGCGAATCACGACGGACTCGCGACCCGTTCCGGCTACCATTATAAGATACCTGGGTTGCCGCCGAATACGCCGTCACAGGAGTAAGCAAAGCTGTAAATTTATGTGCTACGAAGGCTGTGCTTGGAGAGGATTGCAAGCAAGCCAGCAATTCCCCTTATTAATCGTCATCCAAAAGGCTCCTGTTCGCTCCTGTGCATATGATCAAATGGCTCAGACTCTCAGTTAGAAAAACCCCATCCCCGTTTTTGCTGACCCATAAGAGAGCCAAATTGTCACATTGAGAGTTTCTGCAAGCAGGCGAATGTATGACCAGTCAATTCAATGCTTCCTGGGCAGTCACAACCTGGCCAGCACGCCGGGCAGCGTCAGCAGCCCGAGCAGCCATAGAGCCATCCGTGCGACGCCGGATATCATTGAGATCAAAGGACGCATCAAACATGATGCCATTCAACGTCTTGGCGCGCGAGACGGCGACGTAGGTGAGGCCAGACTGGAAATCGCGATGGGATATATCGGCAACAACCCATTCAAGCGTAGCACCCTGTGCCTTGTGCACAGTGATGCTATATGCAATTGTCAAGGGAAACTGAGTGCGAGAGCAGGGCATACTACCCTTGATGAAGTCCGCCAGGAGCGAAAGATAGGCTGGACGTTGGCTAGCTCAGGGTCGTCGAAATAAGGGGGGCCGGTATAGCGATCGAAGCGGACCATAATGACAAAGGGATGATGAGCTTGAGGATCCTGTACGTGATCCTCATAGGCAAAGTCATATATGGTCCCCAGTGCACCATTAACAAGGCTAACATCAGTCCAGACGTTCTCAGTCAACATAACTCTTGCCCCAATGCAAATGGGTAACTGGTTATGTAAGTTGCCAGCAGTCATAGAGTCAGCTTCGGCGGCTTTTGGACCGACATTTGTTGCCCGAACCTGTATGCAAGGCACAGCTAGGCGTTCCATATGATCCCTATTGAACTCGCGGACCTGGGCATTCGTTGTGTAGATGCGTACTGCCCCGTCAAAGCACGTAACCTCGGCTAAGGTCAGATTGGCCTGGACGCGGGTGCAGAGCAGCTCCCAGTCTAGGACAGTAGGAGCATTTATACGTAGGCTCTGAAGAGCAGTGCGAAAAGGAGCCTGCTCTTCGCCCTGCTGACGCAACACTTGTCGTAACACAACTGTCTTGTCGAATGCCAGGTAGGCATTGCGGCCATTGATATCAGGTAAAGCCGTGAGCATAGACGTAGTAAAGAGCGGCTTCTCCATAACAGGTGGAAGCTGGTAGAAGTCGCCGAGCGACAAAACGCTACGGCCGCCGAAAAGGTGTCTTGATATTCGGGAAATATTTGTCGGAGGCGGCTATCAATGTAGCCAAAAGTACGCAAGCCAATCATTGACTTCTCGTCGATAATGAGGTAGCGGAGGTTGCGTAGCTTTGACTGTAGGTTGGCAATGTCTGTAGGGCCTAGCAACGGCAGCTCCGTTGAAGATTTGTAAGAGGGAGTCGTAGAAGGGTGTAGTGTAACGCCGCCAATTGCATTAGCAGCCACACCGGTAGGGGCAGCCCGAGCGAAGCAGGTTGGAGATAGCTGCCCAAGACGTGCACAGAGCGCTCTGATCATAAAGGATTTACCTGTGCCACCTTCTCCGTCTACCTGCACAAGGAGCGGTGCCGGGTTTGGCTGTTGAGGGTCGAGAGCCTTCTCAAGATGTCGAGTAAATAGGTCAAACACAGTGCGCTGCTCGACGTTAAGCTGATCAAAGAGGCCATCAGGGACATCATCTTGGTTGTTGCCTAGGGGGTGTGAAGCTTTAAGCTCCTTCCAATAGTCATGCCCCAGAATGGCTAAATCCGGATACTTGCCAATGTAGGGCTGCCAATCGTGAGCAAGGTCAAAATCGCGATCCCCAGTAAGTCAATGTCATCTTCATCTGGACCACGATTTGGAAGCACTGCAGCAAGCTCTTCCCAACCCTCAGCCGCAACATCTTCCTCGTTACGCGGTTCTTCCTGGAATTCCTCTTCGACTGGAGGAGGAGGTCCCCGTAGTAGTCGTCTGGATGAACGTCGTGGACAGCAGAGCAATGGTCGTATGCCCCAGAGAAGGTGTCGAAAAGGGCGCCATCTACCTCTTTGAGTTCCTGAGGGTCGCGATGAGGATGGTGGAGGGTCAACTTGACACGACAAAGTCCTCGTACTGCTCGTTACCGCGGAGGGCCTTGTACCGAGGAAATAGCTCAACACACGGTCAGGGCTCGGCTGTAGTAGTGCCAGGCTGCCGGGCGTGTAAAGTCAACTTTGGTGAGAAGCTCAAAGTAGGTCAACTGCGCCCATTGATCGTTGCGAGCGAGGTATTTCTGATATATATTCCTTGAGGCCCGAATACCATCAGCAGCTTCATCTACAATAGCTGCCTGCCATTGCTCTTGAGGAGGGCGGCAGTCAACCGATCGTACAGTCCTCGTGCTTTGCTGGAGTGGTAGGCTGAGCAGCAGGTGGTTAATCTCCATAGCAGACCAGTCACGCTCAGCCGTAAGCTTGTTCATGAACTTGGCGACGAAGCTGACGAGACCCTGTCGTGCATTGACTCTAGGCAAGATGGCCCTGGCGACGTCGCGGTAGCTCTCCGTCTGCTTCTCAGCTTTAGAGCAGTACTTGCCGAGATAGTTAACAACTGCATGAAAGGAGGTGCAGGAGAAATGTCATGATTTGCAAGCCAGCCAATAGCCAAAAGGGATTGAAGTTGTTAAGCAGAGGGTCGTTGCGTGCGCCATCATACACAAGGAATGTCGGGTTAAGGCCATGTGTGACGTGGGCCTCGGCATGGGAGGCGCGAGGAAGTGGAATCGACATAGCTTTTCCTTGACAGAGAGTTGTCAGGCAGTCGGCGGTGTCGCAAGCAATAGAGCTCAGAACAACGATGGCGTTGTACGCGATTAACAACCTCAGCGAGGAACTGGAAAGTAGGCGGCGGTCGGACTAGTACCAATGGATTTGCGTCGCCTTGCTGCATCACACGAAGCGGCTCTGGGTTAATGGCAGAGACATAAGGGGCCCAGAACCGGGCAAACTCAGCTTTGCCTTCGAGAGTAGACATATCAGGCTTTGGTGTATCCCTAACCCAATAAAGGCCGTGCACATGCGTGCTGCCACGGGCCTGCCATTCGTAGCGAAACCAATAGTCGGTAATGTTGAACTTTGGCATCGATACTATCTTAAGGAAGCTAGTAAAACGGCTGTGAAAGTGATATGCTGCGATATGAGGGTTTTCAAGGAGATTCCGGAACGCAATAGCACCCTTACCACGGCTATCAGCCTCACGCCATTCAACATATGACGGCATGTGTCTCTGGAGGCTATCCCAGTGAAGATCAGCAGCTGAGAAGGTGAGGAAGACACCAGGACAGGTAAGGCCGTGGACGAGGGCCTCAAGCTGATGTCTCTGGCCGCCCCAGTAAGCTCGTGTGCCTTTTAAGCTGCTTGAGAAGCGCACAATAGAGCTCAGGAGTGCGCGAGATTCCGGGTATCTTCCTCAAAGGCATTGCGTAATTCATCCATGTCAACTCGCTGCTGCAGGCCAGGCCTCTTCACAAAGAAGGAACTGTGAGAGTTAACCTGTTGCCGCATAAGTGTGTTAAAAGCAACATATCGAAAGCGTGGATGCCTAGCAAAACGACCATCATGGTATCTCACGGCGTGTGCGATATACTCATCGTACCGAATTGTCCTCTGACGAGGTGCCACAAAGTCTGCCTGCCCAGTAGGGTAAAGGGTAGGAAAGGCGAGAGACAGCAGAGGCTGGGAACGATTGAACTCATTGAGAGGCGTAGATCGGATATTAGGCATCTCGATGTGGGCCTGGCGCAGAGGGATCTGCTCGGGCGGTACGGGTTCGTGATCCTCAAGCTGAGCCCGGAGACGCTCAAGGTCAGCCTGCGCTGCAATGAAGTTTGGGACTGCTGCTGCATCGTAGTCGTCGATGCCAGCTGCATCAGCATTCTCAACAGCCTCAGGGTCAGGGTGCTCTATAGGATGTTGCTCTGCTTGCACGCCCTCAGGCACAGCGACTTCCTCGGCAAGCATTTGATCAACCACATCACCGTCGTTTGGTAGCTGACTTAGGCGTTCAGCGTCAATAATGATATCTCGATAGCCAGGGTGGTTAAGTTGAAGGTGCTCCAGCCAGACGCGAATGTGACCTTGCCGAACACGGAATTGACGTCGAAACTGCCGGACGACGTGTGGCTGGTTCGTTGAATCCCGTGGGCGTAGTATGATGATGTCCAATTCGCGCGGCAGAAGAGGAAGCTGCGTATAGACGTGGCCAATATCCCGTAAGAAGTTAATGACATGACCACGATACTTATACTGCTGGCCACGGTACTGGAAAACCTGGATGTGGACATGCACCCGCGCAATGAGCATCTCCTCGACTTGGGATAGTTCTGGGAGCTCGTTGGGAACGCTGCCGAGATCCAGGTTATTTTCCTGGGAGAAGAGGAAAGGTTCGTGAGGCTGCCTTTTCCCATCGGCGTCACGACGACGGCAGGCAGAACAGACATCATTCACAAGGACCAGGTTGAACCAGGACTCCTTGCATCGACTGCAATACTCAAGAGACTCAGATTCAAGCCTGTCGTTCCACAGATTAAGGAGGTCCTGATCACTCTGAGAAATGGCCTGTGCGTTGAGATCGCCGGCAAAGGGCCCAACGATGTCCAAAGGAGGAACGTCTTCATCGGCCTCGTTGCCTTGGATAGATTGTAGGCTTGCAGGGACAGAAAGGCCAATGCGAGGAACCAGGGACAGATTCAAATCGCCTGCTGCAAAAGCAGAAGAGGCTGGAGACGACACGTTAGAAGGGCTGCTTGACTGCGGATAAGAGAGATGAGAATGTGTTGCTGACCGCGGAATGGAGAGCGCAAGAAATGAAGGGACGGGAGACGAAGGGGCCGGCTGCATAGAAAGCAACTGGGAGGTGCGTTGCGTTGCGGATGGCTCATGGCCTTGCCGTCTCTATACGATGATGTCGACTGATGGCAACTTGGCGGGCGTGTGCCCTTGCATGGCCTGGACTATCCTCTGGCCGAATGCCCCGACGAAAGAACCTCCTAGGGGTCCGAGTGCGAGGCTGTAGTGGAGGTAGGCGTAGCGGAGGCGGGGCAGGACGAGGCTGCAGAACAGGCAGAGCAGGCAGAGCTGAAGGTGTCTGTGTAGCTGTAGGCCTACGCGCCGTTGGACTCTGCACATCCACGCTTGCATGTCGTTTGTGGATCGCTGAAAGGCCTCGAGTAGCTGCCATTAAGCGTTGAGCCTAGGTGAAGGAAGATTAGCAGACAAATTGGGGAAAGGAGGCAAAGGAGAAACGCACACCACGATTATAAACCTGACGACAGGGAGACATTTTCTAGTGCGCCTAGACGGGTCAATCAGATGAATGAATTGATCGTCTTGCTTGAACTGGTGGCATTGAATGCAAAGACGATGGGGAAGGGTATTGGGTAGATCTGAAAGGCCCCAGTGGGAGGAGGATCCTCGGAGGAGACGGAGACGGCATATAGATGTCATATAGGCAACTTTCTAGATGATTAATTTACCAGATTTCGAAAGGAGGACTAACGTCAAAGGAAACAATGCCAAAGGATTCGAAAAGAAGTTCAATGTCAAAGGATATCAAGAATCGAAATTTTCAAGAGTAAATTGGGACTTTCCCCTGCGCGGGGCCCCTGGAGCCACGCCTGCGGCCGGCATTTCGCCTGCAGCGGGCTTTGCCTGCGGCGCTGCATGCCACGCGATTCTTGCGGCGTGATTCTTAGCATCATATTTGCCAACAGCAGGCATTTCTACAGCTCAAGCTCCAGATGCAACAATGCATTAATATAAGGCGCGCGCTGTGTGACGTCTGTTGCGGCAAAAGGTGCCCTCTCCACGGCAAAGGCACGGGTAAACTTTTTGGGCCAATCAGGAGCACTCTTTACGGTGTGAATAAATTTACTGCGTACAGTATACATGAGCTCTGACCAATCATAACGTTGCCCACGGATAAACTCTGGGTAAATCTGACCAATGATGGTTCTGCAAATTGTGAGTAGGGCCAATCAAAACGCTGGGCTAGCAAAACAGTGGAACGCACTTTTTCCTCAGTAAAGAAGCACAGCTGAATCTGCGCACTGCGTGTACTTCGTCACTTCGTAGCACAAATTTACAGCTTTGCTTAATGAGGAAGCCGTCGAGAAGGCGTCATATCGGTCTCTCGAGCTTGTACAGAAACAGGCACTAGCCGCCTCGGCCGGCCTCCTCAAACCACAAGAGCGGCCACTTGGGGAATGTGGGACTAGCTTCACTGCCCAATACGGGCTGCCCTGCAAGCATATTATCGCCTCGTACCTCCAGGTCCAAGGGAGGGACTAGCCGCAAGCTATAGCTACAAGACCCTTGCCCTTGAACTTGTGGGACAACCACTGGCTTCTACGGCAGGATCTTGCCGTCACAGACCCATACAGACGAATTCGCGATCCTCGAGTCATTGCCCGGCGCCGCAGACCAGCCAGAGCCATTATCCATAGCCTTTGCACCTGTGGCCACGACTGCAGCCGTTGCAACAGCCGCTGTAACTACACCTGTGGCCTCGTCAGCAGCAGCAGCAGCAGCTACCCCACCAGCTTCGCAACAGCCACAGCCTCGCGGGCAACAGCAACAGCGGCAGCCAGTCTTGCAGACAGTGCTTTCGCGGCAGGGCTATTGGCAACTACCTTGGCATTGGGCCGGCTATAGCTTCGTGGCCGGTGTCAACACCACAAGCAACGTCAACGCCACAAGCCGACATCGTGATCCGTCAAAAGCCTACACAGCCGACCTCATACCAGCAGCCGCAGACTTTCCGGCGCTCAGAGTCTGCCACCCAACTTATGCGGCGGCTACCCTCCGCCTTCGAATATCACGAGCCGCCGCGGCCGCCGCCTCAAGGAGGGTCTCAACGGGGGCATCGCGAGCGCCCTCGTCTCTTTACCCTTGTTACGGGGTCAGCACTGTTGGCACAGGTGCTGGGCGTAATTGATGTAAATTGAGCTACAAAGAGTGTAAAGGGGAGACGTGTCTACATCGCTCCCTTTAGGAGTCGTGTCCGTGGCGCTCGCACGTGCTTCACAGTACTCCGTCCATGAGGTCATTCTATTCATCAGGTCCAACACGAGCTCGGAGTAGTACTCATCACGGAACATAGTCTCTACGAACCTCCGTCCACCCTCGTCTCTTGCGTCGGGTGCAGTTGTCGGCCGACAACTTCATACTTCGACTTGCAATAGCACCTAGAGAGCGTACCTGGTCTGATATAGCAATACCATATCCTATATTCTCAGATAGCTTGCATCTCGGTTCGACAGCAGATAACATCTGTTGGCACAGGTGCTGGGCGTAATTGATGTAAATTGAGCTACAAAGAGTGTAAAGGGGAGACGTGTCTACATCGCTCCCTTTAGGAGTCGTGTCCGTGGCGCTCGCACGTGACTAGTCTGGCCATGCCAGATCTACACATCGGGCGTAGCCCTACATTAGCCCCTACTCCTCTCTGGCGCTGGTGCCCTTTTCCTGTCCCTGGTCCCCACAACGATCGTAGGGCCGTCGTCATAGGGTCTGGTGCCGTTACTATCGACGGGCGTCGCCATTAGTCCTAGCCCGTAGTGGTCCGCGTATTCTCTTGCCCTGTATCTGCAGCTGTGGTTGTATTCCTTCGACTTGCCCCTGGATTTGGGCCGGCTGTGCCCGTTGCCACTCGTCGGTGCTGGTATGGTCCCTCGTTTTCGAGAGCCGGGCCGTATCTCTGTTCGTACTTATCCAAGGCCGCTGTCTGTTGCATATTGTCTAAAGAGGTCCAGGTCGGGTCTTGCCAACCTTGCCAGCGTACAGGACTTCCGCCTACGGCCGCGGCCGGTTCTCTTCCACCTAGCGCATAGTATTTCCTCTACTACTTGGTGAGCCTCCCGTCTACTTGGATAGATGGGGTTGAGCGTCTGTGCGTTGCTGACCAGGCATTGGGTCCGTCCCCGCTCTCCGGAGTTGGTCGACGTGGAACCTATTATAGCAGCCCCGGGAGGTCTGCTAGTTCAACCGTGTACGGGTCGAGTACCTTGCTTATCGTATACTTAGCGTGCAGCCAGTCGAACTTCTTCTTAGGTCGCTCTGACGCGTAGTTCCGTAAGTCAAGCCAAACCTTATCGCCTACTTCGAAGCGTTCTGCCGCGTTCCGTCGTCTGTTAGCGAAGCGTTCTTGTTGCTGCGTAGCTGTCGCCATTGATGCTTGGCAGAGGTCCGTAATCTGTTGTAGTTTGGTAACAACAGTGTTGCTAATAATATGACAATAAAGTAGTATACTGCAGTATATACAATACAATACGCGATTTCTCATATTGTACCAATACAATATGCTCGCCGTCATATTGTGACGATACAATATAGCGCCTTCCATACTGGCAATATATGGCTTGTATTGTTTGTATTGGTTGGTAGTCATTCGCCTTTCCGTTCCCAATTCGCGCCAATATGATGACGCGTCAAAAACACGCGTAAATATAAGCATGTTCTATGTATTGTTTTTCGTCTGGCGGACCTCCAGGACGTAAAAGTTTCCTATTGGCGCACGGAAACGCGTAAATGTATGTATAAATCCAGACCTACAGGGTAGCGGCTCGCCGTCCAAACACTGTTTTCCTCCTCAACCCCGCTTTCCCACCCCAGGACTTACAAGCAATCTCGATGCCTCAACAACGCCTGCCTTTTGTTCAAACATCGCCGCGACGGGATTCGTCAATATCAGACGAATACTCGGAGATTTCCAGCCCACGGTTGCATGATCCAGATGAGACCCAAACCACTGAATGCCAATCGTCGCAACCTCGCACGGCCTCCATAAACCCTTCGGCCAAGCCAAGAACATCATGGGTCTTTTCTCATATGCCAGACGAGGACATAGAGACGAAATACTACAATCAGCGGACCGGAAAAGAAGAATGGCGCTGCAAACACTGTGACAAAACGTATTGCTGTTCCGGTGGAACTGCGGCCCCAGCCAAGCACCTTACGGATCCTCCTCCTGACGGTCACGGCCTCCAAAAGGCGCGCCACGAACTGCCAAAGTCACGAATATACGAACTATTCTCGAGATAGCTCGTGTTACGGCCAAAGAACATCCCCGAAAACGCCGTCGGCTCAACGATCAATCCGGAGACTCGATCGACCCAGACCAGCTCGAAGCTTTATACGTAAGGTTTATTACGTCCTGTTCTCTCCCATTTAGGCTTGTGGAATGCCCAGAATTCCGAGCATTCTTAGCCTACCTCAACGCCGATATCGATACTTGGCTTCCAGATACACACGAGACCATCAAGAAATGGATTATGCGGCAGTACGAAGGTCAGAAGGAGAAGGTCAAGCAGCGCATCCAGTCAGCAAAGTCAAAAATTCATATCAGCTGCGACCTATGGACTTCCCCCAACTCTTTGGCCATCTTAGGCGTAGTTGCTCATTACGTTGCAGAAGACAGTCAGTTGGAACACCATGTCTTGGCTTTGAAAGACATCGACAGTGAGCACGACGGATATCACCTGGCAAGGGCAATTTTGAAGTGGTTGATGACTGGGGTTTGCTTCCAACCTTGGATATTTTGTGATGGACAATGCAGGCAATAACGATACAATGATGAGATCTCTTTCCCTTGGTAAGTACGGCGCACTGTTTTTCTGACTGGCCCTAACATTTACAGGCCTTCTACGTCGATATGACATTCGATACGATCCCAAATCTCACCGACTCAGCTGCCAAGGTCACATTATCAACCTTGCCGCCAAAGCTCTTCGTTACCGATAATGAGAAGCTCAAAGACGACGAACGTGATGGGCATAATGTGACACTAAAAGAGATCGAGGCGTGGCGGAAAAGGGTCCCCTTGGCAAGCTCCACAACTTCGTGGTTTTCGTCCAAAGTAGTGTTCAGCGTCGCCAAAAGTTTCTGGCCATCAGCCATAATCGCAAGCTTGCGCGAGATAATGACACGAGGTGGAGTTCGTGGTACACCATGCTACGAGCGGCCTTGCATCTTAGAGGCGCAGTCGAGGATATTTCAACAAATGGGTGGAAGGAGATTGTGCCGGAGACGAGCTCTCCCGAGGAGTGGGTCATCCTCGAGAAGATCAAGTCTTTCTTGGAGAAGCTTAAAATGACGACAAAGGCCCTTGAGTCATCGTTTGCAACTCTTGACAATGTTCTTCTATGGACTTCGTATTGGCGCAATTCGAAGCAGGAAAAGAGGCACATATCGACGATCCGATTATGGCACCAATGTATAACCTGGCTGGGCGAAGATGGATAAGTACTATTGTCTTACTGACGAATCGCCTGCCTACGTCGCTGCGATTGTGCTTCACCCTTCGCATAAATGGCACTACATACACGAAAACTGGAAGAAGGAGGGCTGACTCGTCAAAGAAGCTGATGGAGACACTGTGGGATGATTATAAACCTGTGGAGCCGCCTTCTCTATCTGAGGTTCCGTTGACGACCACGAACGAGTTCTTGAATTGGAGAAACAAGCACCTACAACCAGCACTTATCACAGACGAGTACGAGCGATATTGTAAGTCTGAACGGGTTTATGGGTTCACAAGCGCCTCGCATGGTGGCTGGAGGAAACACAGCAAAAGAACTACCCATACCTGAGCAAATGGCGGTGGATATACTGTCAATTCCCGCAATGTCTGCTGAGCCCGAAAGACTCTTCTCTGGGCAAAAATAACCATCACAGACCGTCGAAATCGACTTGGGAGTGATGTAATTCAGGCATTGGAGTGCTTGAAGTCATGGTTTGGGATACAGGATTTTCAGGGTGACGATATTTCAGCAACGACGGTTGAATAATGAGGGTCACGTGGGATATACGGGATATATTGTTTTACTGGCAATATATTTGGTCACTGGCACAATACAATATGGACCAATGCCATATTGCGCAATACAATACGCACCTCTTGACAATACAATAATATTGCGAGGGGTCCATATTGCCAATATACGTATTGTTTATATTATTAGCAACACTGGTAACAAATTTTTTGCCCTGGTTTCTGGCGAATGCTGAGGATACTCTTCCGCATATGCTTCCGTAACGAGGGGAACTGTGACTTCGGCTCATAGCCGTGTATAGCGAAGAATGGGGACATCCCTATAGAGGTATTGACCCGACCGTTTAACGCCATCTGAGCCGCGGGAACCCACTTATCCAGTCGTTCTGGTTCTGGTTAATCACGGCGCGGAGGTATGCCTGTACTTCTTGGTTCATCCTCTCAGGGCCTCCGTCGGTTTGGGGTGGTACGCCGTGCTTAGCTGCTGGTCGATCCCCAGTAACTTGCACATGTGCCTCCAAAAGCGGCCTACCCAATTCGGAGCCCCTATCGCTCGTTATAGCGTCGGGCCACCAGTGGTAGCGGGCGAAGCACCATAGAAAACGCTCTGCACATGCTTCCGCTTCCATCGTTGGCATCGGTTCGAGTATAACTTCCTTACTTAGCCGGTCCTTGATAACCCAGAGGCAGCGGTTACCGTTCGCAAGGGGGAGGTCCGTAATAAAGTCCATCTGTATCTGGCGGAAGAAGCGGTCCGGTACGGGTAGCGGTCTGGCGAGACCCTTTATGCTCGCGCCATATCTTCGTACGGCCGCAGACATCGCAGTTACGCAAGAAACGTCGGATATGCTGTTGCATTAGCGGCCAGTAGAAGTCCCTGGATACGGCTTCTATCGTCCCTTCGTCCCGGGTGGCCCACTACATGGGAGTCATGAACCTTCTGGATTAAGGAGCCCGTAATTCGTTTAGCGACTCCTGCTCTAGCGGTGCTGCCTTGGCTGCTGCTTCTGTCGTGATCGGTGCGCCTGGCACCCATAAGCGGCCACGTAGTCGTAGGTGCCCCCGAGGATCAATAGCACTCGGCGACTTGTACCTTCAGCTTAAGCTTGGGGTCGAGGGACCGAGATCCGTTTCGTACCGCGTTATAAACGCTTGTAAAGACTGGATCCTGGTTTGCCGTTTGCTGCCATAATTGTTGTAGCTCTGGGTCGTGGAAAATCGTGTTCTTCTTCGCCTTCTCACGCTTGAGTCGACGTTACTCCGACGTAGGTACGTAGGGCTGCTTCTGGAATAAGCTGCATATCTCGTGCTTCGTGATCCGCTTCGTTTGGTCGGTCCTGTTCGCGGCGAGAGAGCGTCTGGCACCACTGCTTCGTCCCGGACGGTACTGGAGCTGGAAGTTAAAACGCGAGAGATATTCAGCCCAACGTGCCTGCCTTTCCGAGAGCTGTTGGCGCGTCATGAAATACTCGAGGTTCTTATGGTCGGTAAGGATAACGAAGTTATCACAGCTTCGTAGCTCGGCTGACCATTGTTCGAGACAACGAATAATAGCGAGCATTTCATCATGGATTGGGTAGTTGCGCTCAGCCGGTGATAGCTTCTGCGAGTGGAACGCTACTGGCTTGCGTTGTCCGTCGACTTCCTGCGTAAGGTGCCCCAAGCGCCCAGCCGCTACAGTCTGCTTCTACGAAGGTTGGCTCGAAATCCCATTGAGTAAGAATAGGGCGTTCGTAACAGCGTCTTTAGTGTCTGGAACGCCATATCGTGCTCGTCCGTCCACTTGAACTTAGTCCCCTTCCTGTTAGTGCTGTTAGGGGTGCAGTTATTTCCGAGGCTTGCGGTATAAATATCCGGTAGTAGTTAACGAATCCTAGAAAACTGCGCAACCCCTTCTGGGTAACGGGACCGCTCACTCGACTATTGCTCGTATCTTGTCGGGATCTGCCTGAATGCCAATTCCTGCGTGAATAATGAATCCTAGGTACTTAATCCGCTTGACTTCAAATTCGCATTTCTCCGGTCTAGGTGTAGTCCATGCTCGGCGAGGCGTTCTAAAACTAACCGTACCTTCCGGAAATGGTCTTCTGCTCCCGCTCGAATAGATAAGTATATCGTCCATATAAGCAGAGGCGAACTCGTCGAGGTAGTCTCGTAGGATACCGTTAATATACCGCTGGAAGGTTGCTGGCGCGCCACTTAGCCCGAACGGGTAACCATCCATTCGAAGAGACCGTACTGCGTGAACGCTGTCTTCCACTCGTCTCCTTCTGCAACCCGTACTTTATGGAACGCTTGTACCACGTCGACTCAGAACCACTTCGCATCTTTTAGGTTGCGAAGTGTGTCCCCTATTAGAGGAAGGTAACGGTCCGACTTAGTGATTGCGTTCAACGCTGTAGTCACAACAGAATCGCAGCCCGCCACCTGGTTTCACAAACAGGACTGGAGCTGCTGCTTCTGAACTGCTTGCACGGATAAATCCTTTATCCACTAGGTCTCGTAGAGTCTTCTTAAGAACCAGGAGTTCCTCGTGACATACCGTATAGTGCTCCATACGGTAGTGGTAACTGCTGGCCATTCGGGTCCTCCTTGATTCTGATTTCGTGGTCTATGCCTGGCTTATGAGGATTCAGCTTATCAGCCTTCTTCATAAATAGAGGCAGTAAATCGTGGAACCGCTGGGGTATCGTTCGGCGTAGCCTGCTTCTGACATGGGTTTCTTTGGTGATAACGCCCTTCGATATCCTTCATGCTGATAGCGAAAATCGCCGTGGCAGCTGCCCTCTTCCTTCCTGCTTGCGGATCCTTTCAAAGTAACCCACAAAGGTACTGGCTAGTACGTGCTTTGCTTCTTCGAACTCCTTGGCTTCGCAGAATATTCTCCTTCCCCGAGGTGATCTACCCAGTCTTGTGTAGGTTCATGCCATAGTCGTTTCTCGGGCACTGAGTACGACTTTGTGTGGCATAACCAGGTTTTCCTAGGATTGGAATTCCAATCGGGGGCACCACGCAGGCACAGATCGTCTGTATGTGGCCGTTGACCTCCATTGATAGCCATGAGGCCCCTAATCGTTGCTCCTTCCATTGCCCCTGATGCTCCTGTAATAGCTCGCGGTGCTATTTCCACTATAGGAACTTCCAACTTCTCGACGACTTCTTCGTCAACCGCGGCGTAGCACTGGCATCCTCGTCTACGAGTGAGGAGAAGAGATTGGTCCTATTGATAATGCTTCGAATTATTGTAGGACCAACTTCCATTTTTCCTGAGAACTCTCTCTCTTTTGCCACTGCTCCGTTCTTGGCCTGAGACCCGTCTTTGTTTCGAGGCTACGCATTTCGAGAGGGATGGGGTCTCGCTAAGTCCTGACTCTTCCTCACTAGAGTCGTTACCATCATCTTCCAGCAAGGGCATGATCCTAGCGGTGCGGACTTTACATCCCTCGACCGGCTAGGGTCCTGTCCTGGCGAGTAGGGGCAAGCGCAATGAAATGGGTGTTGTCGCCGCAGCGAGACAACGACCCTCGTCACGGCGTTTATTCCGTTCGTCCTCGGATACCCACCTCGCCCGTTGCTTCCGTCCTGACCTAGGCTGGAAGCGAACCGTCTTGCTCGTTCCACTTGACCCCGGCCGTTCGCCCGTCCTCTCTGACCCTGCCCCTGGAGTGCGTGTAACCGCCATTATTACGTCGCCGTCATGGTCGCGTGCGTCACGTGCGTTCTGCTCGGCGGGTAACGTTGCTGACGGTGCCGTGTTGTCGTTACCGGCGACCTGGATGTTGCCGATGCCTGATGCCCGCCCTTGGTCACGTTGCCCGCGGGAGCCCTGCTTCCTCTGCAACGCCTTAAACTTCGCGGTGTGCTCGAACGCCCAAGCAATCGGGTGTAGACGTTGATGTACTCGTTGTAGTCCTTCGGCATGATAACTGGACCAGTTGCTCACGGAGAGCAGGAGAGATCGAGTTCCGTAGCCATGCGAGCTTGGAAGCATTATCCCAGCTCGCGCCGCCCGCTTTGGTCAATGTTTCCTCGAATTCAGGGAGGAACTTCCCAAACTCTTGGCTGTCTCGTTGAATGAGGGTGCGCAGCCTGTCCTGCGCCCTCTCTGTCTGCTGCACGCTGCCGAACGTCTGGGCTAGGTGCGAGAAGAATTTCCGGGGTCTGGGGTTTTCCGCGCTCTCTTGCCTCCAAAACCTAGACTCTCCTCATCATCTGATCCGGCAAGGTCTGCAGGATCTCGTACCACACGACGTTGTTATTGCCGTTTAGGCCCTCCTCTTCGTCGGTATTGTACTTAAATACCAGACGGTCGAGGTAGAAGTGGAAGGACTCGGGTTGACCGTTCCACTTCGGCCAAGTCATCGGCTTGCGCTTCTTGCCACGGTCCATTTCCTGGGCTGCTTCCGGCCTCCGTTCGACGGGTAAGATCGCCGGGTACTGAGCACCCCGGGCTGTGTCAACGGTGGCGCTGCTAGCCCAGCCCGGTGAACATCTTCCGCAGTTCTTCGTCTCCGCGATCCCAGATAAGATCTGCAAGAGCTCTTGCTCCTTCCCTCCATCGGCTCGTTGCGCCGCCGGTCGCGGTGCCCTGCATAACTACTATTGTCCTCCATCTTGTTCGTCCGTCTCGTCGTCCGATCGATCGTCCGTCTCGTCGTTTAGCCTATCGCCTGTCTTGCTGTCTGTCCTGCTGACTGTCCTGCTGTCTGTCCTGCTGTCTGTCCTGCTGTCTGTCCTGCTGTCTGTCCTGCTGTCTGTCCTGTCTTTTGTTAACTGGTAGCTCAATATGCGGGGTCAGCACTGTTGGCACAGGTGCTGGGCGTAATTGATGTAAATTGAGCTACAAAAGTGTAAAGGGGAGACGTGTCTACATCGCCCTTTAGGAGTCGTGTCCGTGGCGCTCGCACGTGACCAGTCTGGCCATGCCAGATCTACACATCGGGGCGTAGCCCTTACAACCCTTGGGCCTCGACCTCTTTCCAGCACCCTTGCATCAGTGGAAGGAGGATTCATGCCGCTCCCGGCCAGACTTGCAAAG